AAAGTGACTGATGTCAAATATATTCTGAAATTTAATTTTTAATATTTAATTCGAGAAATAATCTCACTAAATACCACTCGAGCTTTAAAATTAACATATAATTTTTCACGATTGCATGTTTTCCTTGCAAATTTCACTCGTCTTTCGGACTCATGAAATTATGGAAAACATGCAATCGTGAAAAATTATCGGTAATTTCAAAGCACTCGTGGTATTACCCCCGAAAATTCTGTCTTTTATCACCACTTAAACACACAACAAAATATTAGTAATATTTATTTTCATATACATTTAAACAATCACAGCGTTATATTACATTGCATTTATAATACATTATTTTTATCTCCGCATATGAAACAGAAGAAAATTATAAGAAATATTTTTTTAAACGATTTTCAAAATATGAAAGGTGTATGATTACCTTGATTGAATGATAATGATTTGGTTAAGATTGCTGGATTACTTTACTATTACTACCGCCTCAATCACATCGCAGTTATTTATATGTTTCCTGTTGCAAAACCAGCAAAGTTAATTTATTCCACATTTTCCACATTATTAGGTCGTGCATCGAGACCTTAAAATGGAGAATGTAATGTTGAATTCCGCTCGAACGCAAATAAAAATTGTGGATTTCGGTTTGAGTAATTTCTACAGTCCCGAAGAGCTTTTGAAAACCCATTGTGGATCTCCAGAGTACGCTGCCCCTGAATTATTTATCACTGGAATGAAGTATGGTTCAGAGGTAGATTTGTGGAGTTTGGGAATTATTCTCTATGGCATGGTACGTACAAAACCCGAATTACTCAAGGCTAAACATGCGCTTTCATATGTGCGATTAAGGAATTTTATGATGTGAATAGTGTCATGCGTTTGCAGGTTCTTGGGTATTTGCCATTTGTTAGTGACCGGAACGAGCAACTGAGCTCTCAAGATCGTCGCAAACGGCTGGTTTTACAAATCAACAAAGGCCTCCGCAGCTCGCATATAAAAGATTTGTCATTATTCTCTCCGGATTTTAGAAATATGGTTTGTCGAATGCTGATTCCGGACGTTACCAAGCGAATATCCATCAAGGATGTGATGGTGCATCCTTTTGTTACCGATAAAGGCAGCAAACTCATTAGGTTGGTTTTGCTGTTGATATTTTACCTTTGCACTATCTGAGGCCCGTAGAACGAGTCCAATGAAAAAACTGGATATCAAACACCAGGCAAGAATAATTGAAGATATTTGCGACTTGGTCCATCTGCCAACACATGAGGTGGTTCGAAAAGTAAAAGAGGAACCGTTTAGCAGAATTGGTGGAATGTACAATATTTTAGCACGTGCAATGGCATTGAGCAAGTGAGTGGCTTTGGATGCTTTATTCACATTTTTCAACTGAATTCTTTCTAGACTGAGTGGCGATGGAATCAGTAAACTCCAGCCAGGGCCGGAAACAGGTACAGGTCTTCCACAGAATTCCCCCGTAAAAAGACCAGACAACTTGAGAAGCATCGCATCAAAGCCTCTTAGTGGGAGGGACACGCCGACGATTACAGGTTAATATCTATAGTGAATATTTTTGATAGAAACATCTGTCTTTAGTGCAGGATAGAAAAGTGTATTCTCGGTCAAATAACAAACCGCCGATGAGCGCACAAGGTCCTTTCAAGATCCAGGCAGAATTTAGACAAGCTGGAACACCTACTACCGCAATGAGACCCAGAACTGTTCAGCTGAACCTACTGGAAAAGAAGAACAACTACAAGGACATTAAAACCGCTTTCCTCGCAAGAAAAACCAATTCAGGTAAGTAATTCAGTAGGAAGTTTTTTGGGGTTGATTCACTTGATTCTTGATAGCTGGCCTAACACCAAAAAGCTTCAGGCCTTCTGTTTCTGTTTCCTCCCCCACTGCTGTGAAATTTCCCAGCGCTTTAAACACAACAGCGTCTAAAGAAGTTGTTCGAAGGCTCTATCCGGGCCCTGATGAACAAATCGAACCCAACAGAGAGGCTAAGAATGTAAAACCGACAAATTCGTAAGTAATATTGAATGGTCAGCAACAGAAATGTCGAAACTCGTAAACATTTATCGGACTTTTTATTCGAAAAACACAGCGACAAGGTGTTTGGAGTTGTGTAGGGTCAGTGACATAAAACGATCCAAAACATGAACTTTGCCCTTTAAGTCGAGACCGATAAATTGTAGAGTAGAAGTTTTAGTTCGCAACAGGTTTTAGGGCAATTATGGGCTATTTTGATGAAATGTTCCGGGAGTCGAGGAATGAGTCGATGAGCGGAAAGTCGTGTTTTCATATGCCGATAAAATCAAATGTCTAGCTGAATTTTTTTGATTCTAGTTAAAAATGTAGCCAACAAACTTGATGAACAAGACTTGATCTGTCTTACTTTAAAAAAATGTCGTCGACTAGTTATATACGGACTATTTTGTCAAGTATTTGATAAGGACATTTTTAGGGTATTTTTTATTGTCTCTACATTTTCCAAATAATTTACATACTTTTTAATATATTATACTCATCTTTTACACACAAATCAAGAAAGGAACGCAGTTTTTCTTGATTTGGAAGGATATGGAATCAGGAAGTGTTTATCACACACTAGAAAATGTTCCTAAAATAAATGTTGAAATTCTGGGAGTACTTAAAAATATACAAATTGTGAAAGCTTTTGTGAAATTTTTAGAAAAACGATAGGAAATCATCGCTCAGAATCCATGGTTAAATAAGGATCCTTAAGGATGCCTTAAACAAGTTGATAAAAAGGCAATTTGTAAAAATAGCATAAATACAAGAATAACAGATCAAAGAATAATTTTCCACAACCAATATTATACAAAAAAGTTTGTCYTRCRTGCTCGTRCWTKRAARSTTACCCAGATTTATTCTTACATTAAACGAAATTATTACAATTCGAGAGCACTTAACTTGCACTAAATAACGAGAAATGAATCAAAATCTACTCCAGATCAGAAATGAAAGAAATTAGATTAATTTTAGCACACGTTCAGAATGCTATGTTAGAATACGAAAATTGGGCCAATGACTTTTTCAAAGATTAATTTATTGTTCATTAAGAAACTCTCGATCAGTTTAGCTACTTTTAAGACTTTAAGATTTTAAAGCGCAGCCTTTCTAAGACACGCTTGAAAATAATATTTTATTTTAATTTACTCTTTGCACGTCTCACCTCAATTATGATCAAAATTTTTTTTTAAACATTTTGTTTTTATACAATTCTTTTTGGTGTTTTCGCATTTTCAAAACTTTACGAAGACGTATACGGTTTTCGTATGTTAAGAAGCATAGAAAAACCTTTGCATTTTCGCTTCGTGACAAAAGTACTTAAGCGAGTTCAGTTGCAAACTCATAAAACTAATCCAGTAATAGTTGAAGAAATAAATTCACCTTTAATACGCAATTTTCCGCAGTCAAACATCATTTTCTCCCAACCGAATACTTAGAGCAATTTGCAGAGAGCATATTTGGCTTGACAGAGATTCAATTTAAGTTTTTTTTTTGTTAAGCCAACAGCAATTTAAAAAATTATCCCATCGATAATTTAATTTTAAACAGCTTGAGGAATAGATTCGACTGGAATACTGATGAGATTGTCATTGGCATATTTATTTTTTCGATTCAATATAGTCAGAAAACGATTTTGATCCCTAATTTAAATGCAAAGGAGACCAGGAACTTTTGATTTGGAAGCGATAAGTAGTTCAATCATTTTTTTATTTGAAACTACTATTTTAAAAGTCATGAAGGAAATTTGTCAATAAATGACTGCAATATTTGAATAGTTTTGTAGAACTTGAGGTTATTTATATCTCACTCAAGTTTATGCGGGTAATGAACCATAAAAGTTTTTATGCTCCTTCCAACACCATTGAAATTAGGTTTTTTTATTGCGGCATAAAACTCACCATTTAGGGCTACGTACAAAATAAAGTAAATAAAAAACGGGATTTCACGCACAGTCTGCCGCTGATATTAAACTGGAGAAAAACAAATGAAAATACTATTACTCATGATTTGGTTTGCAATCGAGCTCGATTTGCATGCTTCATATGTTCGAATGGATTATTAAATCTATCGCCAGCATTAAAACAAATGGATACATTATTATATAATCCATTGCACCGATTGGAATTAGTTATTTATTAACGGATTAATAGTTCCCATAGTCGACACCATCTGAATATTCAAATTTCGCTGTAAAATTGAATATTCCCCGATGTAAATCAGTTTACATTTAGGCAAATTTAAATGGCTCCCAGCATTATTTACTGGAAAGTTCAATTTAAAAATCGGAACTGAGTTTTATAATGTAAATTACATGTGTAACTGACAAGTGTATCAGCAGGTTTTGGTCTATACGTGCTTATAATGAGTACTTTGATGTGTTTCTGTTTGTGAACTAATTAGTTTTAGTTATATTGTATTATTTGCCATTTACTAGAGGAGGTGATAGTTTGAACCCTAGAGCCCAATCAGAGAAACTTTCCAACAATAGACCCACCACAACGAATGGAGGCTTTATTAGAAGAAGCTTGGCTGTAACTCAAAGTGATCCTAAAGCCACTACGAATAGGCCACAAACAACGTCCAAAGAGTACAAAGTAAGACCAGTGTGGTCGAAACTTTGGAGACATTTTAAAATAAATTGTTCTTGCAATTTAAGGCCTTGGCCAGATTATTAAAGATGGCTCGACCAGCCACTTCAGGACAACCAAGAGAAAAGCCCACCATGGCCTATGGGGATATGGCGCAACGAAATCAGACAATTTACCAAAAAGCGAAAAAACCTACCATGTACGATCCGATTGCCAGATCCATAGCCGGTTACGTTTGTAACAACGTGCCTAACAAATTGCCCACACTGGGCAATTTTAAGAAGTAAAGATATAAATAATAAATAAAAAAATACCTTGTATTTTACGGCACTGTAGACTTAAACAGACGAAATTAAATAAATGAATTAGCAAGTTTTATGCGGCTTTTTGCGCCATTAACTGAATGTGCGCCATCAAAATAAAAACCAACCACAATATTTTATAGTGTTTGCCAGTCGCAAAGACTAAACACTATAAAATTTCTCCATGGAAGTTGTACTATAAACGCGCAAAATTATTTGCTGTTTTATAAAAACGTTTCGTCATGAAAAGATTTGCTTGTCGAGAAAAAAGTGGCGAAAAGGTTATTGCCTACGCAACTTCAAAACATGTGTTTTCCGCAAGAATATTTCGTACCTCCATTTCTTATTGGAGAGGAAAACGTGATCTGAAAATGTCTGGCTGGAATCACTTTCATAATGCAAAACGAAATTTTCATTTTCGAATTTTTCCTTTATTTGAAAGTTAGTATTTTTGTACAAATTATCTTAAAAATGTAATTTGTATTCTCTCATTTTTACTTATGAGCCAAGCTTGAGGAGATTCGAAAATGTTTTAATATTTCTTTCTCAAGAGGAAAATGTCACGGTAAATTTACAAAGTTTAAAGGGCGCATTAAGTGGATGATAATTTTCCTTATTTTTATTTCGAATTAGTTTTTTTTCCATGATGATTTACATATGCATCCTTCAATTTACCACTTTATTGTATCAGTTGTGCGGTTGTACAAACAGTTTCCACAAAAAAATGTTAACAAATCACTTTTTGATGCTTTTTGCCAATACAATAAGGAAGTACTTGAAATAACTTTGATAATTAATGCGAGCGCCTTAACTGAGTATTAAAAGTTAAGAGTATTAATTTACTGTCTAGACTAACAAAATCGCAAAAAATGTTGAATTAAACTTAATAAACTCTGTTTGAGATTTAATGTTATATTCGTCCTTTGGATTCGCTTATAACAGTCATTAAGTTTTACCCAACCTTAATTTACCAATTACAAAACTTTGTACCCAATTGTTTAATTTAACTGTTTTTCCACTACAAGCTCCTTTACGACAATTGTACGTGCTTTTAAAATCACTGATACGTGAAAATTATTCTATAAAATAAATGTTTTGTTGCAAAAAAAAAACGTCTGTCTGCTCAGTTGAGTTCTTTTCATGGATAAATAATAACCAATATCAAATAAATAATTTTCGAAGAAATATTCAGTTGAATCTATCGAAAGAATTATCACCGTCAAGGAGAAAAATCATCTTTCTCAACAAAGAAAAAATGGATAATTTAGTCCGCTTAGGAGCTAATGCATCAAGTTCCATTTTTGTACAAAATACTTAGCCAAAAAAATACCGTGTTTATCGCAAATAAGTAAATAACGGAACGAGCTAAGTAAATAACAGAACAACCGATCATTATGGCCCAAATTGAGCAGTTCTGATGTTTAACCGGCGATTTCTGCTCTACAATGGAATCAAAATTTCTATATTTACATTTGAGGAGCTGAGTAGATCTAAACCTAGTATTTATTATGGAGCTCAAAAAGGGCACATGTAAAAATGGAATTTTACGCAAAACTATTTAACTCTCTTGAAATTTGTATTTTATCAAAATTCAGATCGCTCGAAATGTCTCAAGTTCTCTCGCATTTCCGTTCCAGGAAAGCGGAGAATCCAAGGCGCTGATAAATACATATACACTCAATGATTCTCAAAATAACCAAAAATTAGTAGATACTTTGACCTGTTTGTAAAGTGTTGAAAAAAACTCAATATTTTTGAAACCCTAAAAATACAAGTTATGCATTGAGCTAACCTGTAAAAAATACACCGGCGTAAAGTTGATTTTTGTACAAAAACAAATGAAATGTTGCTATTTTTTAGAAAAGTGGTTAGTTTACAAAAACACGTTAAATCTCCACACAGAATTCATCAAAAATTTGATCACATTTTGAGTCTTCAACCGGCCATATTATTTATTACTCTGTTACACTCAAACAGTTGCTTGAGTTCAGCTCGAAAAACATACAAAATCGTTAAAAAGCTGCATTCTGCTTCCAAAAAGCTGAAATCTCTCAAAACGCCTTCAATTCCATACCATTTTCACGGTAAAGAAGCTTCTAACGCTCGTGTTCATTGCGCGTAGAAAACCCAAAAACAATGCAAATAGAGATTGTGTTTTCAAGAGTCTGAATTTGGAGAAACAAATTGATCGTGACTTGACGAAAAAAGCACAGATAAGAGTGCATTTTTATTTTGCAACTATTATAAAATAGACGCCGATTTGTACAAAAAAAATGGCAAAGAAAAGACGTGAAACCCTAGAAAGTTTTCCGGCAACCTAATGTTTCAATTGAATGCGATTTTTAATGCGGGATTAGCCATTCACTGGGGAAGCTATTAAAGGTTTCATTCTCAGCTCGAAATCGAAACCCTAAACAGGCCGCCATTATAACCGTGACTACAAAGTCCCGAATTGTTTAATAATTTTCAGGAGGCCGATGAACAAGGCCAAATTATTAATCGGCTAGTTGTCAAAGGGAGTCGAGATTTGGCTCGGGTTTAATGTTGCGGTTTGCGGTCACACTCCGATGCCGGAGGGCCCCATAGAAAATTTCGTTTTGTTCATTATTAACATGCTATAAACGAGCGAATCACTTCTTTACCGCCAGTTCTATGTGTTTCCACATTGTTGGTGGTTTACCTACGGATTGAGGTTAAAGCTATCCATTTTAGAAACTGCTAATTATAAGGCACCTCATATTGCTGGAAAATGCTAGGAATTCTATCTGAAGACCTACAGATATGGTAGGAAATGCCCTTCACTGATCTGTATAAAACAACAGAGCGTTTGCTAACCTAAATAAAAAAAACAGGGCGGCATAATTAAGTTATTAAGGAAAATAAAAAGTGCAACTGCATTCACTCATACATTCTTTTATTAAATTAACTGGATGTGGTAAAAGAAAACGTCTTTTTACACCAACCGAGCACGTAAATTACATAATAAAGCAGAGGAAAAGAACGAAATTCCGCGTCATGTACTGCATCCGACGGAAACTGTACCTCAAAGAGTTTTAATTTGGATCCGTCAACTTTGCAAACAGAATGCTTCTATATTTACTCTCATAGAAACAACGCATGCATGTGTTTTGTCTATTTTTCAGGCAGGAAATGAAACTTTGTAGTTACATTATTTGTTTCAGTTGCATTTCGACTCTTAAGTCAAATTGGGTTGCTACTCATATAATACAATCTGAATAAAGAGCTATATGTCAAGTTAAAAGCAGTAAAAAGCAACTACTTTATTTGCGTATTTTGTTTTAATGAGTCAAAAAGTCAAAAAGAATGAAAAGTTTGGTCTACATGACGTTGTGGCTACGCACTTAATGGTTTAGGAAAATGAGAAACTCAATTATAGTATTAAGGGAAAAAACGCCCGAACCTAAACATTTTATCCTTTAACTTTTAAAGAAATATAAACAAAACAAGGCTGCTATTTAGGCTTTAGGTAGATACATCAATCACACGCCAGTATATGTAAGTAATGTGTCCCATGCCATTTTTCTGCAGATGACGAGAAAATTAAGTTGAACATTTTAGCCGCTGTTGAAAATATCTGAATAATCTGCAAATGAACAGCCAAATTCCAGCAAGATTTATATATTGATTCTTTTCTAAATCATATAAACATAATACTACACTGGTACTTCATAATATGATGCTTTCGTTCCATAGAATTTTTGACGCTGTTTAATTGATTTAAGATGTTATATTTTCATGCTCATGTTCCATATAAAATATATTATTTAAACTAAGACTTCATTATTTATTAATTAAATTAATAAGTAATTAACTTGAAGGATAAAAAGGTTTAAACAAGAACACAATTTTGAATGTGAGGATAATTTCTGATTTAAAAAAAATAATTTGATAAACTTTTGACAAAATTTGTAAAACCGCGTATTCCCTGCTTATAGTACCTACATGCTTTAGAAAAAATAAATTTAGACAGTTTGCATACATTTGTTAAACCGAAAAACGATCTTTTTTATCTATCATATCTAATCATTCGGAAAAAGTAGAGTTTTTCGGGCTTGTAGGTCGCTGTGGAAAAATGTATTCTTGACGTTAAAGGCCTGAAAAAGTCACCGGTTTCTAGCAATTAAAAGCGTATTCTTTCATTCTTTCTGGCTGGTCTGACTGGCTGCTAAATCTTATAGTATTTTGTTAACAATCGTGATGTTAATTTTTTTCTAGAATTAGAGATTAAGACTTAATCTATTAAGACTAGAGAATAATAATATCTAATAAACATTTTATGAAACGTTATAAATTTTAAAATCTACATAAAATTCCATATCATTCTTCGAATGTGTGCTTTCTTATGTATGAAAAGCGGGTCATAAAATAAAGGAGGAGAACTGCAAAATAAAAGCATTCGGAAAGATAGTAATTTTGTTTTTAATATGCTGCGCTATTCCATGAGGTTCATATTATAATTACGAAAATAATTATGTGTTGCTACATGATATTCTGCAAGCAGAAAATTACTAAATTAAATCTTAAAAGAGCAGAAACGAATCAACTACTTATTCCCTTGTTGTTTGGAAAAAACGGTTCAATACGTTAACAATACTCAAGGGGTTGAGTGTAAAGTTTCTGAAAGACCGTCACTATATGGCATAAAAGAAACATTTTATGAAATTGCCAATAATTGGAGAATCGCCGAGTATTTTGACAGAATCCCAACAATATTTATGGTGAGTTGCATATGTTATTAAAATCATTTCTGAAGAAACGCTTTTTCAATTTAAAACTTATGTTTTTTCGCATTAAAATTCGCAAAGAATGATCTAATTTCCATGAGACTGACTAGTGATTTGGTATCTATTCAGACAATAACTTATAGGACCGTTTTAAAAAATGTCATTTTTTTCCTCTAAATTGTAAAAAATTACGAATCCAATTGCTCAGACGGATATTAGCACAAACAAAAAGGCATAATTTAATGTCCAATTACAGGGAATGCAGACTTATATTATAGTGTGTATGATCGGGGTTTTCGGTGTGTATGACGGATTTTCTTCAGTGTTGTAACACCCGCTTCCTTCTTCTACAATAATTTAATGGTTTTCTATCAGAACTTTGACATAAAACCCTCAAGAACAATTAAGGATGAAGATGAGAAATAAAACTTTCGCCAGTTTAAGCCGAATAACTTTTTAGGTTTTTTGAAAAAACCTAAATTCAGGCGCTCTTAGTAGTGATATATTTTTAAATCTTTTTATCCATTGCAAATGTAAGGCAATTGATACATATTTCAGCATATATTCAGAAGATAAAACCTTTGAAACGAATTTACATTTTAACAGTTCTTCTCACATTTTCCTTACATTATTATCTGTTTCCATCATTTGAAACTCAAATAACTTCATATGTTTTTAACGCACTATATGCTAATAAAACACCCCCAAAATTATGACTGATCACATGTTTACCCAAATCCCTATTCTCATAAAGCTCCTGCAAATATAACTTTACTATGCAGGTTAACTACAAAACTTTTTATAATATACAATATAACTTTTTCCAGTTTTCCGGCATATTTTTAACAGACCTTCGCCATACAATACATATAAGGGAAAGTTGTAAAATGAATTTAATACATATTTCAATTCACACGTAACCTACGCTGAATTTTTCTGATGTACCAACATGTAAGCTGAATTCTTACAGTTGTAAAACGAATAATTTACAAACTAGACCTTGTAAATGCGCGTCAGAGTTTTTTTGCAGAGCAGTTTTCCAGTTGATTTGCATTAAGAAATGTGATTGTTTAATTTAAGAAAAATGCATAAAATACGAAAAAGCAAATAAGAAGAGAACGGATCAAAATCATTAGAATTAGGAAAGTGCTTGCTAGTAAAAATTAGACAGTAGGTCTATATATAATCAAAGCTGAAAATAAATCTTTAAAATTCACTCCTGAAAAATAAGAAGAATTAAGGGATTATTTCGCCTGCTTCTTAGCTTTAGTAAAAAACACAGAAAAATGTAAGGAAATAAATGCCTATATATTTTGCTGCCACCGGGACATGTGAAAACGAACTTTTGCGGTTCTCGAGTGTTATTCCTCTCATGAGTTATGTGACGCTCAAACCTCTAAACTGCCCGGACTATCATAATTTAAGCTAACTTGCATTTTGTAACTTATATATACTTGCTAAACGCATAATTAAGTTAGTCAGAGTAGTCAGAGTAATCCGAGAAATCAGAGCTAAAGGAAATATTGTATCTGTGAAAATAAAGTTTTTAAAAAGGAAAATTCAAAAGTCCAAAATATAACTGGCGCAGTCGTGCGGATTTGCGGGAATCAATACATATCGAATGTACTGATTTTTTCGTCGAATTAACCGAAAACGAACCCTTGGTGAAAGTTGAACAATATCGCGGACGCAGAGTGAGTTTTCTGGAAATCGAAAAAGCTCCAATCCATTGGGGAGCTGTTGTTGCCTTGCTGTTCATCGATCATCGGAAAATAGAACCCAAATTGTCTATTTTCGCGAGATAGCTGTTGACTGGTTCAGACACCCATCGTTGGATCTTCAAGAACGTCTTATAGAAAGGACATGGCCCGGATTTTCCTAGTAGTTATGTAAGTGCAATTTTCAATAATTGTTAATGTCTGTTGAAGACCTTTTAAACTCCTTGACTGAGTTATCGATAAACCCTTTAACCGACTCTGACTCCACTTCCATTCCTAGTGAAGTGTCAACAAATAAGAATTTGAATAACTCTGTTGATAAAATGGCTTT